ACGCCGGGTTCTCACCGGACCAGGCTCTCACATCACCAAGCGCGAAGCGCCGGGGGGGTAGAACGAGGTGTTATCTTTTCCATTGTGGGAGACGAAAAGAGCTTGCCTGCGCTTGGATCGGCGGCACCAGGGGGGGTGGGTGCGAAATCGGGATAGACAAGAGTGTTTTTTGTGCGGGTCGAGCAGCTGTCTCGACTCCGGCACTCCCCTTTGCAATGGTACCCGCCCAGGTCCTAGAGTGCTAGTGATCGCGACCAAAACGATTCTCGTGATGCGCTATTATATCTTAGTCGTGTGCGTGCTGGACTGTTCGAAGCTACGTATATACCAGTAGTCGTGTTCAGTTTGAGCGGCAGAAATCGAGGTCATGGTGCACTAGGAGATAGGGCTGAAACTGCCGCCTCGCACTTACACGCCCCTGCCTTGAGACCTGCCGGTACACCTTCTTTTTACAACTGTGATGCATTAAATCCGTCAAAGTTGCTCTGCCGCGGTGTTGTTAGTGGGATCGCCGCCCACGAGCCACGTTTTGGGTTGCACCCACCCACCCAGCGTGTGCCGTGTCGCCGGTGCCCGCTGTTCCAGCTGCCGATCCTCCATCTCTCCTGTTACCCTTCCTTCCGAGCTTTGCCAACACGCGGTGGCTGGCTACACTGACGTCTCTATCGCCTGTTTTTCTCACGTTCCACCAACAATATGTGTTGACGGTGCCGCGGCTGCTGGGGGGGGGGCGAGGGGCAGGCCGGGGAGGTGGTGTCGAACGCGGCGGTTGATCCCTACGTCGCCGCCGGCGCGTACTACGACAAGGATGTCCGCACGCCGGCCAGCGCGGCGGGGCAGGACATGGAGCTGCAGGCCGCGCTGTGGGCGGTTACCATGAACATCCTCGTGTCCGGGGGAGATCTCCAGCGAGCCGTTGATTTGAGATGATTTTGAACAGTTTTGGATTCGATTTTTTTAGTTTTATGTCGTGTTGTAGGTGTGTCACTCGCTGCAAAGGGCGCGTGTTCTGTGCGCGTGATGTTGCCCGTTGCCGGTTGGCTTGGTTTTGGGCGTGGATCCCGGGGTTTGATTCGAAGGTCGCGTCGCCAAGTTGTACGTGGGAAGCCCGGGGAGTGGGCCTGTTCTGTCCTTGCCCAAGAGCGTACTTTCGGGTGGAGCGTAAAAGCATCCGGATTCCGTCCATCGTCGTAGTTCTCGACTTGCAGCAGGTGCCCATCTGCCTCAAGCGACAAAACCTGGAACGAGATAGAGATTGAAAGTATAAATGGTTACGTTACCATCCGTCCGCAGTCCAAACAGCGAGTGGGTGATCTTTCAAGCTCTATGCCACCGAGCGAAGCGTTGGCGTCGACTTACCCCCGCCCCCATGTTGCTCTGAAAAACAGAAAAATGGTCCGGACAAACCCAAGGGACGGAACGCGCGCATGTACATAAATATGCAGGCAAATGCGCTCTTGCACAAGATAGAGAGGGGGGGGGTACTCTTTGCTCCCGGCTGCATGTCGGAGGAGGTCGTCCCACACGTGGGCAACCAGAGCATGTCGTTTTGCTGGTAGCTAAGCTCAAGCGACTTTTCCACGAAACTTGTAGATGTGGGGGTGGTTGGCTGGCTACGGTGGGATAAGAGTTGATTGAGGAACGCTTTTCGATGGTGTTGAGCGACATGTACCCGTACTTAGAACGGTGTGTGTGTCCCCTCCATCTGTCTTTCCTTCTCGGGCCCGTCGTACTCATGTTAGTTCAAGTCAGCGCCCAGTCCAAAGGATGCAGGGAGCTTCGGTGGTGGTGCCCACAGGAAAGGACAGGCTCGTGTTCCCACTCTGTACGTTTGCGGGTTGCCTTGGCCAATTTCTCCGAATATCTTGGGCACGGTTTTGTTTTTTGTTCCTCTGCTTGAGGGCCGAGGTTTGGGAGACGCGGGGAGGTGGGGGGTGGCCTGAAAGGTAGCCGTTGTTTAGCCGCTTCCGTCGTTGGAGATATCGGCCCGGCTAGCCTGCTGCCGTGTAAATGTACTCCCTTTGTTTTCTTCACCTCTGTTTACTTCAGAACCAACCGTAATATATCCCCTTGCTCTCTGTAGGGTAGCCGACGTCACACACTTCGTGCAGTGTCGTAGGGACGGGATGATCGCTGTCGTCGTATGCAGCTTTCTTTTTTGGGTGTGCGTCTCGGGGCGTTGTTGTAATGTGCACAGGATTTTGTGAAGGGCATGGCATATTGCTCGCTCAGTAGACAGAACGATGCCAGGGCCATTCACCGGTGGGACGGGTTCGTGTTTTGTTCACTGCGGCGGAGCGTCGTTATGTTTGGAGCGTGGTTATGTTTGGAAACGTAAAACATCGGAGCGGTGCTACATTCGATATTTACGTTTTGACCTTGAATTGTTACGGGGCGCTACGGTTTGGCCTACTCCGTGGTGTGCACCGTGCGAACCCAGAACTGCGGCGGTGATTCGGGGTCTGAAATAAAAAGAAAAAAGCGTGGGGATACATATTGTACCCGCACAAACCGACGAAGTAAATTTCGTGAAAGCGTTGGGTGCGGTACATCGGGAAATGGCTGTGCGGTGCGTGGAGGCCGCCGGTCACACGTCCCGCGACATCGCGACCGGAATAGTAGCCCACGCGGATCACTTCAAACTCTTTACATTAGCTTTGATTGATTTATCTATTTCGCGTGTAGTCTAAGCCACCGCTCCCCCCATCGACACGCCACCTCCGCCCCAGGCCTCCTTGCAACACGTACGTGCCGCAGCAGGTACATCCGTATACACCTGCGTCGGCTTTTAGTACCATGCTGTCCCTGGGGCCGCTCGTGCACTTCTCATTCCCAACAAACACCCTCGCAGCGATGACTCATAAACGTTGAGTTTCGTAAATCCCCGGAGGACAAGCACTTCGCGAGAGACATGTGATATTCTCGACATGATTTCGTGTGCGGGTGCCAGTGCCCGCAACAAATCGCCGGCCCGGTCGCGCGCGCATGCACCATTTGGTTGGCCGCACAGTCGCGCCAAAAACTGCATTGCTGTCGAGCCCAAAGCTGCGGTGTTTCGAACGCCCCAAAACACCAGGAGCGGTGACAAACCCCCCAAGCATCATGACACGAAACGGTGGGTGCTTTCCCATCCCCGAAATATCTATTTTTCCAGCCGTTGCAAGGCCGCAAGCACAGCCTTTACCATGAAGGTAGAGCAGCGTCCAACAGCGGTTCGCAGCACGGGCACGTGAGGCTTCAGCTGGGGGCCGTAGCGCGTCACCAGGCTGTGGATCAAGGTCGTGAACTTGAGCGATTTCTGAAAAAACAACAGGCAACATTGCGGTGTGGGGGTATAGTATTGCAAGTAAAAGAGTGATAAGCGTCGTAGCGTTCCGAGGGTACGATGCAAACAAGCCGCAGACACGCCACGAGTTGACGGGGGTATTTCTTGCTGAAGGCAAGACGGCGATAGATTTTCCCGCGCTATATCGTCGAACCACCGCGGTCCAATGTGTTGCTGGTGTTCCCAGACGGCCCTCTCCCGCCATTTCGGTGCTGCTGGCAAAAAGCCTAGAGCACCTACACGCCGACCTTCTTCGAGCCAACGGCAGAGAAACCCACGTAAGATCGATCGGCAAAACCAGAGGAACGCGCCGGACACTGCTGCTGTGTGACCCACCTAACCCTTGCGTTTCACAAGAAACACCATCATCCCAACAAGGATTGAAACTGCCTGCACGTCCGCGCACCTGCAGCGCCGCCCGCTCGGCGGCAGCCTCCACCCCGCGAACCAGGGCCGCGATTGCCCTGTCCGACAACGCCGGCTTCAGGTTGAGCGCAGTGGTCATCACCGGCACAGTCAGCTCAGTCCACACGCACCGCAACGACGACCCCGCCGCGTAGAGCCGCCGGCCCGCCGCCGCATTGGTGCCGGTGCCATTGCCTCCGCCGCTCGGGCCCCCGATCCACCCGCCGGCTGTCTGGGCGCTCTCGTCTTCGGTCGGGCCGCACAGGCCAACGAGGACGGCCTCCAGGGTGTCCTTGGGTAGGATCTGTTACGTCGACACCGAACGGGGGTATTTTGAAGCACGCGCGCAGAGGCTATCCAACAAGTAAATACATATAAGCGCAGATTGCCGCGAATTTTTGCTCAATCACAGCAAGCGCAGTCCTTGACATGGCCTGTAGAAAATATACATACTCGCCACACCAAGGAGAGCGTGAAATCACCCCGCATGTTTCCCCCCCGGTGTTTGCCACCGGGGTTGGGTAAAGGTCGCTTGGCAACGACGTTGTAAAACAAGCCAATTCACTTCGTCAAACTCGGCAACCAGGTTACCGTTTTTTTTTACCTCTGTTTTTTTTTGGCGGTAGCCATAGTGGTGGTCGAGTAGATCATGTTGTGCGGGGTGGAGAAGCCTCACTCCGCGCAAGGGGGATGATCGCACCACGTTATGTTAAAGTGGTCAAGCACCCTCGAGGCAGTTTTAAAACGTCTCTGGAAGTGAAGTACCAGAAAAGAAAATTAAGTCATACGCAGCTGTCATCCGTACGCAAGGAAGTAAGCACAAGATGCCGAACACCCTTAGCAGGATGCAGCGCACCCTTCATGCGACTCGCCGAATATCTCACGGCGCTTCGCGCTTGGTGATGTGAGAGCCTGGTCCGGTGAGAACCCGGCGTGCTCCGTCCCGGCTTTGTAGGGATGCGAGGTCAATGGTCTAACGACTACGGCATGCACGACTATGAGTACACCCCCCCCCCCCCGGTGTTTGCCTATCGGGATTGGGTTTTCGTCGCTTGGCAACGACGTTGTAAAACAAGCCAATTCACTTCGTGAACTCGGGCAACCAGGTTACCGGGTTTTTTTTACCTCTGCTTTAT